CTTCGTCTGCCCTTGGAATCAACTGCCGGGGCAGCGGTCTCTGCACGAGTAACAAAGGCATCCTCGGCGAAGCCCTAGGCCAACTCCGAGGTATGGACCAGGGCCAGCAGTTCTCTGACGGTCAACACATCACCTGCGTCAAGTCCTCGGTCACCATCGGAGATCCTTCCCTCTGCATCTTCTACCAAAATACCAACGGGCGCAGGTGGACAGTTGCCCAGACGGTCAGCTATGTCCAGCAGCTCATTGACCACGGATGTGCTGCTTGCGGCAGCGTGCCTACCGATCCGGGAAACAACGTCAAGAACGGACAACTTACCGCTAATATGGTGACAAACGCGGCTCGTCGTGGCCTGGACATGGCCAACAAAATTGCCAAACGGGAAGAGGCTCGTCAGGAGACACGAGAACCCGAGCCCGTCACCAAGGCCGACGATTCGACTGCGATCCTTGCGCGCGCCCTTGGAATCAACTGCCGTGGTAGCTCAACCTGCGGTGTCGGCGGCATCGGCCATAGTCCCGCTGGCACGCTCGAGCAGGTTCGTGATGCTGTTGCCGCCGGTCCTGACGGGAGCTGGACCAACGGGCAGCATATTGCCTGTGTGGCACATGTCACGGGCCGGCTGTGCGCGTTTTATCAGAACATTGGAGGCCGGTCGTTCAACAAGCAGCAGAGTGTTGCCTTTTTGGATCAACTGAGGGACCACGGGTGCAAAAACTGTGGTAGCATCCCTACAGATCCTGGTAACAATGTTGGCAATGGACAGCTGACTGTCAACTTTGTTGCTTAGCGGCGTAGTTTGAACATTGTATATTGATGCAATTGGAGAGTGAAGGGGTCCATGCTGGGTGCGCCGGATGAATAGGTAGTTTTAAATTTGAAATATTTTCGATTGGTATCCATGGACTGACTCTATCGTGTGAGCCATGTCCCATGTCTATTGAGCATTCGTGTAGGTGCTTTGTGAAGACTAGAGTTGGCGTGGCAATGTTTGCGTCTTCTAATAGATTTGTGGGTTTCTCTTGTCAGCATTTAAATGCGGTCGGTATATGTGCTCGTGATGATTCTGACGGTTTGTGGTCGAAACGGGGAGGAAGAGGTCATCTGGTGGAAATGGAACCAAACTGGAGATGAGTGTCGAATTGCTGGCCAGTTTGCCCATCGACGTTCATAATGTTACTCAGCGCACGTCGATTACTCCGTCAAGAACCAGACTGCCCCAGCGACAACTCACTACTCTTCAGTGGCCACCGTGCCTTAACTCCGTCCACGTCCACGTCCAGCCAGACCAGACATCGCCTGGGTGTCGTCTCGTCACCAGCTCGAGCAGCTGGCCAATCCCCGGCCCCATGTCACGTCGGCACCCACCCGGCCACACCCCATCGCCCAATCAGATCAATCTATGATACTCCTTCCAGATATCGCTGATGGAGCTGCATGCAAGCCAGAAATTCGGCTCTTCCCAAGATGACATATCATCCAGCTCACGCAGCTTCCCCCGCCTCATCAAGTCCACTGCCTCAATTTTGCCCTTGCACACGCGCTTGTGTATGGCGATTTGATTTTTTGTCCTCGTAGCGACCTCAAAAAGGGTTAAACGTGCGTTTCCCGGTGCTGTCGAAGCAACTTTCGGTTCACTCGTACCACGAAACACCAACACCCAGCGCTTCTTCCGATAACAAACCCCGATACACAACATCGCCCATACGTTTTCCCTTCGCTGATCATTTCCGACGGAACTGTGCCTCTTTGATCCATGCCATCCGTATCCGGAACGCCCGATTCAACTTCATCCCGCCGTCGGCAACGTCTCTCTACATCTCCATCTGCATCGTCAGCCAACCCTAAGCGGGCTCGGGTTACCGAGTCTCCCGCTATGGCGACTCTCAGGGCGAGAGGCAAGATGCCAGACATCATTGACCTGACCGAGAAGCCGTCTGCTTTCCAGCCATATAGCGGAGCCAAGAAGCTTGTCATCAAGAACCTTCGAGCGCCCATTAGCCGTGAGGCACAGGTAGAAGAATACTACGCGCGGACAGAAAAGGATCTCGAGGAAGCCTTGGAAGCCATTTTTGATGATAGAAGACCGGCAGTACCCTTGGAGCGGTTGTATCGTGGTGTCGAGGATGTCTGTCGCAGGGGCGGCGCTGCAAAAGTTTATCGTTTGCTCAAGGAGCGCATCGATCGTCATTTGCAATTGGTAGTCTTGCCACGGATAAGACGTACCGGCGGGCAGTCGAATATCGAAATGTTACGAAGTGTAAGGGGAGAATGGAATGTATGGAATGCTCAAACAATCACTCTCCGATCAACGTTTAGCTACTTGGACAGGACGTTCTTGCTTCGAGAGTCACTCCCATCCATCAACGACATGGCCATCAGCCATTTTAGACGAATGGCATTTCCGCAGTCATCGCAAACCAACGGCAGTTCACCTGGGGAAAAAGCTATTGCCGGAGTGTGCGAGATGATCGAGTATGACCGGCGAGGCGACGAAAGACTTGACTCGAATCTTCTCAAGGAATCCATTCGCATGATATACGTTTTGGGTGTTTACGTAAAACAGTTCGAGCCCGTCTTTCTGAAACAGTCTGTCTCATATTTTGAAGAGTTTGGCGAATCATGGAGTGCGTCCAGCCTCAAGGGCTATATTGCGGCATGCGAGAATCTTCTCAACCGAGAAGACCACCGATGTATGGCGTACAACTTTGACAGCGCCACTGTCAAGCAGCTCATGGACTCAGCACACAAGATTCTCATCGACCAATACTCGGAAAAGTTACTACATGGCGACAGCTTGTCAAACCTGTTATCCGATAGAGACGTCAAGTCCATGAGGGGACTCTATGACCTATTACGATTATCTGACATTCAAAAGAAGATGAAGAATCCCTGGACTGAATATATCCGACAAACCGGATCTGCCATCATATCAGATAAAGAGAGAGGGGATGAAATGGTCCTGCGACTGTTGGAACTTCGACGCTCATTAGACCTCATGATTAGGGACGCCTTCAAAAAGGATGAAGACTTCTTGTGGGGCATGCGAGAGGCGTTTGGCAAGTTTATGAACGACCGCAAGATAGCGTCCTGCTGGGATACAAACACGTCCAAGATTGGAGAAATGACTGCCAAATACATAGATATGCTGCTTCGAGGCGGATTGAAAGCTCTGCCCAAGGAGTTATTGTCCGACGCCAAGGATCGAGCAGCGGCAGAGAGGGAAGGCCAGGCAAGCACAGCAGATGAGGATGCCGAGTTGGACAGACAGCTTGACCAGGCACTTGAGCTTTTCCGATTTATTGAAGGCAAGGATGCATTTGAGGCCTTCTATAAAAAGGACCTGGCACGACGTCTGTTGATGGGCCGTAGTGCAAGTCAAGATGCGGAGCGAAACATGCTGACAAAGCTGCGAAGCGAATGCGGATCAAATTTCACACATAACTTGGAGCAAATGTTCAAGGATCAGGAACTTGCCAAGGATGAGATGGAATCGTACAGGCAGTCGAGCATTACGACCCAGAAGCAGAAGGCTCCCATAGACTTGTCGGTCATGATTTTGTCTGCCTCAGCTTGGCCGACTTACCCTGACACGCGGCTCAACTTACCCGACGAAGTAGCCACTCAAATCGAGACATTCGACAAACATTACAAGAGCAAACACACAGGAAGAGTGCTGACATGGAAGCACTCCCTTGCGCACTGTTCTATCAAGGCATCTTTCCCCAAGGGCACCAAGGAACTTCTCGTGTCGGCTTTTCAAGCCGTCGTCCTGATGATGTTCAACAAGGAGCCCACGGCTGGCTTCTTCACCTACGAACAAATATCCGCCGCGACCGGCCTCCAAGGCGGTGACTTGGATCGAACCCTGCAATCTCTCGCATGTGGCAAAGCGCGTGTCATCACCAAACACCCCAAAGGCCGAGAAGTCAAACCCACCGACACTTTTACGTTCAACCAAGCATTTTCCGACCCCAAGTATCGCGTCAAGATTAACCAGATTCAGCTCAAGGAGACCAAGGAAGAGAACAAAGCCACTCACGAGAGGATCGCCCAAGATCGACGCTTCGAGACGCAGGCCGCAATTGTGCGAATCATGAAGAGCCGCAAGTCTATGGGCCATGCCGAACTCGTCGCCGAGGTCATTAATTTGACCAAGAAGCGAGGAAGTGTCGAGCCCGCCTCCATCAAGAAGGAAATCGAGAGGTATGTTCTCCCCGTTTGACCTGGTGGTCGGTTGTGTGACGGTATTCTAACTGCAGCAGCCTTATCGAAAAGGATTATCTTGAGCGAGAGGATAATTCGTATACCTATTTGGCGTAATTCCTGATACTCGGGCAGGTTAATGGGCGTCAATCGTGTACGAGGCGTGTTGTGAGTGATGTATTTATGAACTACCCACCATATTAAGCTGTAGCCGGCAATATAGCGACGTGCTCAACAATCTCATCGTGTAGTGGAAGTCAATAAAACGAGCCGAGGGATGTGTCTCCATCGCTTGCAAACAGAGTGCCATTTCTCGGGATGCGTCGAAAATCGAATGTGTTGCTGTGCCCCCTGGCTGCGTGACGGTGTCATGACGGTCGGCGAGCAACGCTTTTACTCTTACAAGTTGGCCGATTTGGACACAGTCCCGAAGAGGCTTGTTGTATCTGTCGAAACACACACACATACACACACACAAAAAAAAAGGCACGAACTGGCTCGCTTCGACAACACTCAACCTTGCAAAGGCAGTCGCTGCAAAGACTAGCCCAGACATGGCCACCTACGCATCACGAGGAATGAAAGAGATGTGCTTGATAGAGAAACATTAATCATTCAAGTTAAGCAAGGAGCCGTGTTTCCTTTGGTACAAATTGAACGCCTCCGCCCCTGGTGCAATTCTGCTGGTTTGCCCGTCGGCCATACAAGTCAATCTTATCCACGTACATTACTTTAAAAACCTCCAAGCACACTAAGACAAATTATCCATACACTAATCCAAACATCAGGCTCATTAATACGGCCGGGTGGTGGGTCGATAGCCGCCTGTCGACATCATGGGATTGTACCTGGCCGTCGGCGACGCCCACCGATCATCATCCTCATATACATCGTCCACGATATCCCGTCTGGACATTCTGCTCGCACATCTTGTCCCCCGTCGTTCCCCAAAGTCGTCGTCGTATTCGTCATCCACGATATCCCGTCGGGATGCTCTGCTCGGATATCTCTTCCCTCCATAGAAGTCATCCTCTGCAGAGTGGTAATAGGGATCCCTGTCCCTCTTGTAGTTTCGTTCTCCGCGAAGATGGTCCGCGATGCGCACTTGCTCTAGATCGTAGGCCAAGTCGTCCAGCTGTTCCCGGTGGACAGCCTGTCTCACCCTGTGTGGGGGGACGGCCCGCGGGGAAGGGGGTTGCACGACCACGGGGCGGCTCTGCTGCATGCCATCCTCCTTTCCCATCTGGTACCACCTCTGGCAGTACTCGAACGCGGGCTGCCGCGAAGAGGACGAGGTGGACGGCGGCGAGGGCGGCATGGCGTGGTCCTTGTGTTGCTTGGAATGCTGCCTCTGCGGAGGGGAGTCGACACCGAAGTGCTCAGGGCGGTCTCGACGGCCGTGACGGGGCTTGGACGGGGAGCGCCTGGTGCGGTGGTGCCGGCTGCCAGAGGCGACTGACGACTGGGGCGTTGTGTAGCCCCCTTCGTCGGAGGAGTAGCCGCTCTCGAAGGACGTGACGGAGTCCCGGGAGCTGCGTGAACTGGGAGGGGATTTTGCGTAGGCCTGGTGGGCGCGCTGCTTGCCGCCAGGTCGGATGTCGCGGTTGGGTGTGAAGGACCGCGGGTTGTGAGGCGTGTTGGGGCGACTTTGGTGGCCTGGGACCGGGGCCCTGTTGAGATTCCTAGGGATTTGAGGTACGGGTGGTGAAGGCCGTTGTTGTTGCGGGTGTTGCTGCTGTTGCGGTGGCATTTGGGGTGGCATGTGAGGCGGCACTTGGGGCGGCATGGGCCTCGACGGTGGCTGCTGGTTTACTTGCGGCTGTGGTGCTGCTGGAGGCCGGGGAAATTGCTGGCCTTGGGGAGGGAAAGAAGGAGGAGGAGGAGGTGGTGGTGGTTGTTGACGGAATGGGGACGATTGCTGCTGTTGGGGATGTTGCGGCGGGCGAGGTTGAGGTTGAGTTTGAGGTTGATGTTGATGTTGCTGCTGCTGCGGCTGCGGCTGCGGCTGCGGCTGTTGCTGTTGCGTCGCTGGTCGAAACTGTTGTGGCATTGCTGGATTCGCATTCGTGTGCTGCTGCGCCGGTGGCATGTTCATTCTCGGCTGCTCCTGCTGCACCGTGTAAGCATCCGTCATGTTGCCCATGGGCATGTGATGCTGCTGCCCATGCCCCCTCGCAGTGGACGACTGCCTCTTCGGCATTCGCTCCTCCTTCAGCATCTCAATCACATCCTCGTTTCTCTTGGGCACTCGTACAAAGTATGCCGTCACACTTGCCCTCTCATACTTCTTGTCCTGTTTCTTCTTGTCGCCCTGATACGCCTTGTCACTCCTGTACTCCCTGCTCCGACGATGTCCTTCATTGCGGTGTCTATCGTTCCTGTGCTTCTCTGACCTCGAGCTATGTACATGATACAACGGATGACTCTCGTTAATCCGAGTAACCTTGCTCTCCAACTGCGCCAAGTGGTACTCATATCTGTCGTCGTCCTCACGATCTTGTAATTTTTCCTGGGCACGCTCAATCTGTTGCTGCACAACCTCTGGCAGTTTCTTCTTCTTAAGCATAACTCTATCGCCCCCTCTATCAAGCTCATACACTCTGAGGGCTGCTGCTTGCTGGGAAATGTCCCTTTCTTCTCTATGCGTGGCGCATTCCCAGGTTGGCAGACATGGATAGCCCAGCTCATCCGTCGCATTTGGGCGTTGAGCCTTTTCCATACGCCAGACAACGTATGATGAGAGCTTGTGGCGGGCGTCATCCTCGAACATATTTTCATTGCGGAGGTCGACGACGCCGTCCCAGGGTTCGCGTTTGCGGTGGCGTGGGGCCTGTTGGTTCATGTGTTGTTCTTGTTGGTTTGGGCGTTGTTGGAAGTGCGAGGGCTGGCCTTGATAGGCTTGGCCCTGGCTCACGTTTTGCAGAGGAACCTGACCCATGCCGGGTTGTTGCTGCATCTGGGGATATTGATGCTGTTGTTGCTGTTGTTGAGGAAATTGATCTTGTTGACGCATTGGATATTGTTGCGTGGGAATGGGTCCTGCTCCCCCCATGCCAGGACGAACTGCAGAACGAGGGATTGCACTCGGCATCGACTGTCCTCCCGCGTTGGTTCCATGGGGGCCGGCTGTTGCTGGCGGCGGAATGGGATTCGGCGCATTTACAGGACGGTTGCCGCCTCCCATGTTGGTCTGGGGGAATCCCGCCCGAGGGAACGATTCCATGTTTTGACTTGGCAAGGTTTCACAGTTTTGGCGTTGTGGGGAAGATTTGCTGTCAAGTTGTTTTGAAAAGGGAGGTTTAGATGCCAGACTGTTGTTGCTTTCTCTGTTGGTGGTTGCTGGTGTAAGTTGAGCAGCGACGTGAATCAAGCAAGCCAGGCATCAAGTATAAGAACCAAGGGGGTTCCTACGCAGAGAGGCAGCAGAGCCTCTATCAAATGCCGACAGTGTGTACCATCAAAAAGGGTGGCCCGGCGGACCAAGTGAGGCGGCTGCATTTGGCCAAACAGGGGAGTCGGCAGGTTGAGCTCGGCATGGCAAAGCTGTCAAAGATGGTGGTGACGAGAATACCAAGTGTCAAGTGTGCCTATGTGCAACACAATGGCTACATTCGCTCGGTGTAGGATGCAGGCGGCTGAGCAATTTCTCACATAGCCTCGTTGGACAAAAGCTGCGGAGATGGGAAGAAAAAAGGGCTTGGTCAATACGCCAGCGCTGGATGTGAAAGCAAGGCCGCGTGTGTTCAATTTCCTATTTCGGCGATTCGGCTTACACGATGCATCTCAGCGCGCCACCTTTGCTACGGAGCAGAAAGCAGGGAAAAAAAGACACAAGAGCGATTTTAATTCTATACAGAAAAATGTCTCAGTGTCTCAGCACAGTCGATCTGTGTATTTATTTGATGACATTGTCAGCGTCACCGAAACAATGCATCTGGCGCAGGCAACCACCGGCTGTGCATCACGGCGCCCGCCATCGCCACCTCCACGATTCGTCGCGGTGAGGCGGCGTGCAGATAACCAGCGCCATTTGTTTGGTCCAGCGCACCAATAATTCCGTCTGCGAGCTGGGAGGATGAAGATGAAGATCGACTATTACTTGAATGGTGTGCACTGGCACGGTCATCATTGGCCACGCACGAGGCGTACCCCAAACGACGTCAGCGGACAAGTGAACATGGGTACGCCTTTTTCTGGCGATTTGTTTTTTTCACTTTGCTGGTCCTGGCATTGGCGTCATCAGCGTGCAGATTTGCAATGGTAAGCCATTGTGTAATAATGCCCGTCGGTCCTTGGGCCCGAAGGTGTGTTGACCAAAAGGGATGGGATGGTGTTGCAGTGCAGTCGCGGTGAACGGGCTCAATGGCCACGCCAAAGACCAAAAATATGGCTTCGTGAGCAAGTCACGACGGCGGCGAGGGGATTCGAAAGAGCGGTCTAAAGCCAAAATAACGTATATAACGTGGTATGGTGGCGTTACAAATGCCAAAGCCGTTGCACTGCATTTCCTTCCTTTGTGCGTCTGAACGCCAATCACGAGAACCATGTGTTTGTCACCCTGTCTCTGGTATGCGCGGCCATTGTTGCACGATTTTTTTTTTTTTTGTCTGGGGCTCAAACACTCTTGTGTTGATCGCCATGCAATATTCTCGAGATCGGCTGAGTGACGCATCGTTTGCATTGATGTATCTGGCGACTCGGTGGGCAACATCATGATGCAACATTGAAGGCGCAGGGTCGGCATGCCCAACTTGGCAGAAATTGTCTCGCAGGCCATGTCTCATATGGAATGAAAAAAAAAAAAAAACGTCATGTCCAGTTTTACGTCACGTCTTGGATACAGTTCGTGTCGCTGCCTTGCAAGGAAGGGTGCATTGGACGAACCGTCGTGGATGCATGGCTGCTTTTGACGCCTCATTGTGCCTTGACCAGGACGTCGGAGAATGAGGCGGCCAGCATGAACCACCAACCGGCTTGAGTTGAATGTTGGCTTCGGAAGCGAAAATAAATGGCTTGACCATGTGACGATGCTGCAGGGCACTTTGTACAATTCTTTTTTCCCCCTTTTGTTACAAAAAAAGCTTGTTGGTGAAAATGCCGTGCGTCGTCCTGGGGAAACGGGTGTAACCTCGCTGTCCACTTTGTGCCAAGATGGCAAATAAACTGCAAACAGCGAGCGCCGTACTCCGTACTCCGTATTCTGTGTTCCCACGACGCCGTGCGACCTCGTCTCTCCATGCAAGCTGCTGATAGACGTCTGACACTGAGGCTTGGGAAATCCGGCACCCCGGACGATCCAGACAGCCCGTGGGTAGCAACCGGAGCAGCCCTCCGTACACGTCGAAGTCCCCCGGTTGAAAATGAAGTACGACTCGACGCATCTGTGTTGTTGAAATGCGGGCTTGAACCGGCATGCGTGCCACTCTGTCTCTTCATACGTACATATACATATACATACGTACTCCGTACATATGTACGTACATATAATGGGCCCCCAAAGACTAGTCGCAAGACGTCTGGTGACCTGCAGAGACGAGCACCGTGAGGCGTGTGTCGTCGTGCCAGGAAACAAGGCAACGTTGATGTGACCTTGAACGGAGCCGCACGGCCAAAAAAATAAGCCCAAGTTCCTGTCACTGGTATTTGGAGGGTAGCATTCTGAATCTTGGCCCGTTACACCCCAAGGCAAGGCACAAGACGACATCAGGCCAACACTCAACGCCAACACGGTCGTTTTCTTGCACCCCCAACATTGAATTGCATCCAAGGCATCAATGATGATTCTTACAGCACCTGAACCCCCTCCTCCACCAGAGTCCAGATGGTGTCCTTCAGCTCCCAAGCCACGAACCCTCGTCTCGTGTGTTGGCACTGTTGAGCCTTGCATCTTCTCGCGCCGCCTGCCTCACTTGACGCTTTAATGTTGCATTGATCTCCTGACATCACTCGACATCACTCGATAATTCACGCCTACGTCGCCTGGCACCACAACTGCCCATGTGCCGACATCACAGTCCACATGTCGCCAACCCCGAGCGGACTGGAAGCAGCCTTATGTATCCATCGATGCCCTGCCCTGCCTTGTCTGCGCCTTCAATGTTGTTCTGGAACATGCACCAAGGTCCATTCAAGGTCAATCAATCCCTTTGTGCGTCTGGCCTCGGTGTCTCGACCCCCCGCCTCGCCAAACCAATCGTCATTCATGTCCATGTCTCGTCAAAAACTCCGTCCTGTGCTACGTACCAAGAATGCACCCTCGCTGAGAAGCTTCACGACTATCAAGATGCCCATTTGCCTTGTCGCGCGCGTCTCTCGCCATTGGTCGGCGTCGTGTCTCGTTCACCGGTCTCCCAGGCCATGCACGGCTGCAGCGGTCAAGAAGCAAGTCTCAGCCACGAGACTCTGGTCGGAACCTTGCCGAGCGTATTTATCAGTGCTACTGTTGATTATATTATTTCTCTCGTCTTTTTTTTACTTTTCTGCCCTCCGTGACAACGCATTGCTGCTTGATATCGGGCAAATCAGCAGAGATTCGCCACTGGAAAACACGCACTTGGGCCGTCTGTTCGAGAGGCGCCCTCATCTCACGGCATTCAAGGCCGCATATTGCTACCATGCTTTTGAGTTGCTCTTTTCTGGCGGTAAGCAGTTATTAATACCTGAATTTTGCTATTCGTCTTTGCGTGTTTCAGCAATGACTGCGTCATTTACCCGTCACGCGGCATGTCCTTTGCTGTGTCTGCGTCGGCCATCTCGCCACTTGTCTTGTGCCATGCTGCACGCCGTTTCATGCGTAGCATCTGCGTTCAATGCCTTGGGTGCCGTATCCAATGCTCACCTTATATTGGTGGACTCGTCACTGTTCTTTGGAAATAATATGGTTACAGGGCCATCAGATATTTGCTTCTCATAAACAGCATCAAGGACATGACGTAGGCCGCTGCTTTCGACGCCCAGATATGCGCGTACATTTCTCTGATATCGTCTTTCCTATGGTCGTCGTCTACCACGGGAAATACCCCTCCGCCCGCTCAAACACAATATGGCAAGGCCACGTCTGTCATGAGCTTTCAGTTCTTGGCATCTGTATAAAGATTTTGTCGCCTAGATGAAGCCATCTTCGCTGGAACAGGTCCAGGGGTGGTGAGTCTGCGGTGCTCGTCCGGTGGGCTCTGTAACCATCGACCTCTGGATGATTCGTCAGACACGGCTGTATTTCTTCTCCTGGTAAGTGTTTCTAGAGATACCATGTTGGCCCATTTTGAAGCCATGAGGTCAACTTGATCACGACCCCGCGTCTTGCTCGTATTCACTCACTTTCATCACCGTCAAGGGCAACCGGTAAAGGAACCAGCGCACATTTCCAGATAAAATGGCACAACTGACTTTCTGGACCAAGTGAGAGCCTTGATAGGGTTACCTATGGTTTAAAATGACAAAATATCAAGTCAGTGTTGTCGAAATAACGAAGCCGCGGATAGATCCAGCCTTGACGCTAGATGCGGCCATGGTTGAATCAAGCGTGCTTCTGGAAATAAGGGTTCATGTACGAACTGCGCCAGTATAGCATGGGTGAGGACAAAGGTCAGTCAGACTTTGACATATTTTTGTCCGATGATCAGTCGGGCGTTTGAGTGGACTACCACTTGCACATTATCTGACCGACGGGATGTATCATGCGTCGACTTGGTTTAAAATCGAGTTTCCGGGACCTTGTTGCATCCAGAACCGCATGTTGTATCTGGTGGAATTTCGTGTCAATTACTCCCTACGATGTCAGAGGTCGAGATGCAATAGGGGCATCCATGCAGAGCATATCAGACACTTGTTGGATCACAGATTGGCGATGCATAAAATAAATGTACGGGGTATCCACACCTTTGTTCTAGATACCTACTTATTAAGTACCTCCCTCGTACTTTATAAGTGCCTTTATGCCACTCAGTACTCCTTGAAATACAATTGACTACATCGCCAGTACAGTAGTAGTTAGTCACGACCAACTGCTTTCCAAAGCTAGTCGCGCGTTGCTGTAAAGTGCAACCCACATTACGCGTGCCCACGCCAACACCCGCGTCAACATGGGTGTGTCTAACCGCATCTGCACGCTCATCATTGTCTTCAGTGTTCCCGCCTTCACGGCTCCAGTCATCTACGGCATGCTCTGAGTTTGCGAGCGCACCA